ATTGCTGTTGTTGTGTTTTGGTATCTCTTTAGTTGTTGTTGTTGTAGTGTTTTAGTATCTCTGTTGTGGTTGCTGTTGTTGTTTTGTTGTATGACGTCTTTTGCTGTTGTTTTGTTTTGGTATCTTTTCTGTTGCTGTTGTTGTGTTTTGCTATCTAATGCTATCCGTCCATTGATCTATCCGTAAACATGTTTCTGTGAATGCAACTAGACCCAAATTATCTAAAATCTGTAATCATCATGTGCATCATATGACGATAAGAATTTCCTAAAATTTGGATTTATTATTTCTACAAGAGTTTCAGGCATTTTATATCTTTGATTTTCCCCTTTGCAGAACACTTTCTTGCTATATCAACTTATCTTGTAGTTATGAAATGAATATTATGACTATCTGTATGTGTCACATAAATCATATGAAGATTTTAATACCGTAAAATTAGGACCCTATGTCAATTGTTGAGTTATATTTGTATTTCAGATTTTCCCTTGTAGATACATTTCATAGCATTCTATGACTTGTCAAATTACTACTTCAGGGCATGTTTCTATTTTGCAGAGTATAACACTCCTTTCTAAATCATATTGATAACACCAACCTACTGGCTTGAAGTGTTCCTGATTTTTCTTGAAGTAGTATTATTACTTCATAATTATTTCACAACGAATCATTTGTTATATAGCCAAGTCCATTTCAAAATGCTACACAAAGAAAGACAAAATACATTGAGGACAGGGTTTCCCAAACCATGTGTTGCCAAGTACTTACAAAACATATTGGAGAGTGTTTCTCTCTCGTGTCCACACATATACCATTGGCCGGCACGAAGCCGTACTTAATTTTGACAATGTCATGACAGCGTTCAATGTCATCTTCTGTTAGCAGGTCTACTTGTAACATCTTCAGGTGGTTGGGGACTGTATGTAAAGAGAACATAGTCAGTGGTAGAATTAATAAGACATGAGGATATAACTAGAGCGATAAGCCAAAGGCTAACATAAACCTTCGTTCTTCCATGACGAAGTTCAAAATGGAAATTATTTGTAATATAAATTAAGAAATGACAATAGGTGCAAAATGTCTTTAAAACTTGTTAAAATATTAGGTGATGTCTATATATACTTATTAGTTTTAGATAGGGGATGTTACCAACGTTCCCTAAACTATCATTTACGTACGTATATCTATCAGAGACAAAAACAGCTACTATAATACAGCAACTTATAAGTCAGTGTTCAACATGAATTATTTCGCTTATGTATCTCTTCCAAATAGTATCAACAAATCGGTTCATTTGTTTTCTAAAAAAAAAGCAAAAAAAAAAAGAAAAATTGAAATTGACAAGGCACCTTAGGACCTTCCTTTCTAATATAATTGAATGATATTATTTTGATTTTTAAAAATGTTTATGGAATCCATCAATGCGCTTTTTAAAGGATTCTCCTGCTTGACTAGTTGAAATTTCTCCATTTACACTGTAGTAAGATTTACCTCCTTCCCAAGGAGTAATGGCGGACCCAGTGGGTGATGAAGTTCCATATCTTTTTAAAGCGCCTTTGGACCTTTCTATCCAAGAAGGGAATTGGATTAAATCATTTCTAGGTCTTAACTAAAAGAAATAAAGCCACTATTTTTTGACACTTTAGGACCAACCCCCAGGTCGTACTGTTCAGTCAGGGTTACACTTTCGCATCATTGTGTCATCATATGGTGTGATTACAGTACAATTTGAATTCTTTCCTACTGAAAATAAACATAATATACCCAAATAGGTTATTTCCGTTTATAAACTAGAGAAACTTCCTATCTTCCTGAGGGGAGAATGGACGATCTTGGCGTAATGACATTCACCTTTTATTTATAAGAACTTTTCCATCCATGAAGAGGCCAGAAGACATTTTAGTAAATTCGACCCCATTTGGCATGGCCCCTCATGCTCCTTGATGCTTAAATCAATATACATCACAAGTTTGGATTGCTTTTGACCATAGATCCTTTCTGCAAAATGTCATTGATGTTAAAGTCTATGAGGAAATATCACCGCTAGACCCATAACAATGAGCATCACAGTGAAGACATATTTGTGATATGCAAAACTCTTAGTAAACTAGAACTGTCGCCTATGGGCTAACTAATACCCCCGCATTCCGGCTGCTCGTTGCCCCCTGTAGGGTCAAGGATCAAGGGTCATGAAAAAGTCTAACCTCAGATGTCGTATCGACAGACCAATGGAAAAGAAAAACACCACTTCTGTGACCTTTGACTTAATGACCTCGGAATTTCGTCACAATGAAGTTTTGCATCAATGCTACAATCACTTCAAGTTACGTGTACACAAAATACCTACCATTTCTGTGATAATTAGCCGTTTCAGTAACATAATGCATCTGTGACCTTCGACCTTTGACCTCATAACCTTGGAAGTTTGTCATAATAAAAGCCTGTATAATTGGATACAATACTCTTATTATATGTGTATACAAAATATCTACTGTTTCCAAATTTTAATATATATGTGTATACAAAATGCCTTTCGTTTCCGAAATATTTAGCCATTTCAGTAACGTAATTCATTCGTGACCTTTGACCTTCAAAACGCGGAATGCTGAAACCTGACAAGGAAACCCATTATGTATGTTAAAGATTATTGCTTCTAGTATAACAATACCAAATTTGGAAGGAATTGAAAAAATAAATAAAAAAGTTCGTTTTCTATACAATGTAATGGTCTAGAGAAGGTTTATGAACCAATGGCCATATCGGGAGATATCCCTATGAAAAGAACATTACGCACATCTGCAAGCTGCAAGGATTCTTATCAGCAAATTTCATTGTAATCCTTCCAGACGTTTAGGGGAGTACACGTTACTACATTGCGTCCACAGACGGACGGACGGACGGACGGACAACCTGATCCCAGTATACCCCCTAACTTCGTTGCGGAGGGTATAATTACCAAACGTTATACGGACTTGTATACTTACTACTACCATATTCCGTTGCACCCCAGCCAAGAACAAAACAGGAATGGTATGAGTAGATATCTGTTGTTGACGGTGGTAAGCAAACGGAGCTGAGGTATGTTGATTCGTCCACAGGCGAAGTCAACTCTATGAGAGCAAAATCGTTTTGTATTTCATTGTTAGAAAGGATGACGTCTGGATGTAGAGTCACTTTCGCAATATGCATTTCTTTTCCTTGTGTATGAAATTTGTCAATCTGTACAGCTCCTCCTAGTAGGTAATACAAGCCCTCCTCATAATCACTGCAAGTATAACAACAGTTGTTTTAAAAATAAAATTCACGGAATGACTCTTTCGAGATGCTTGTTTTTTACTTGTGTTTTTGTACTTAAGGGGCCTTGTACCATTGTCAAAAACTGTAACTGTGGAAAAACATCAGAGAATTTAGACCGGAATTCGAACCCTGGACTTCATATTGTATCGCACTAACCACTTAAGCTGTCTTGTCAACGGCAGCACCCTGGCCCTACTGTGGTATAGTAAAGTGTCCTGGCCCTACTGTGATATATTAAAGTATCCTGGCCCTACTGTGGTATATTAAAGTGTCCTGGCCCTACTGCGGTATATTAAAGTGTCCTGGCCCTACTGTGGTATATTAAAGTGTCCTGGCCTAACTGTGGTATATTAAAGTGCCCTGGCCTAACTGTGGTATATTAAAGTGTCCTGGCCCTACTGTGGTATATCCAAACGGAAATTAAAGTGCGCAGTGCAGTGGGACAGAGATCCTTCAAAGGACATTTGCCATTTTCTTTTCTTCCGAATTCACACAAAAATGTATTCCAAATTTGAATGAAACATTGAATCAAGATTACTATCCATCAATGTCCACCAATTTCTCTACCTCAAATTTTTTTTTTCGTTTTAGTTGTTATTTCTTAAGATATGAAAATACCTATCGTTCATATGCGTGAAATTTCACGGTTGTTTCTTCTCCCTGTTGTGGTTTAGCATTGTAGCTCTTCCTATAAGAATATCAAAACAATTCTTCTGGTAATAGTTTGTTTTCTATTTGGAAGCCTCACACGTACATTTTACATATAAAGTCTAAGTTAAGAGTGTTCACTTCAATTTTCTGATCGTAAAGGTTTTCGTTTTCTTGAGAGTAACCTCCATGCTTTCAACACAGTATTTAGATATTGTAATTGAATCAATATTGACGGGCTTGGTCCTAATATCATGGTTTAAGTCACTAATATTGATTTTTAATGGATAAACACTCTCATGATTTCTCTTGAAACCATTTTTTCTTGTGTGATATTAATTCCAATGTAATTGACTATGTCATTAACTGAGAGTTTTAATCTCGTTGTCACTATTCTAGTTTTTGAGAATGCGATATTCAATGTCATTGACACTTGATTACATACAGTATAATGCGAATTAAAACATTTAATAAGCAATATTTTTTATGGAGGTTAGCAGCACTTGACTAGCAGTTTAATGACGAAGTGTGTCCATTTAATTGACAGTATGTTGATGAATGTTAGCTACATTTACTAAGCAGTATGTTATTGGAAGGTAACTCACTTAATTAGAAGTAGCTTGATGGGAGATGAAACACTTAATTAGCAGTTCATTAATGGAGAAATTTAAGTTAATTACCAATATCTTTATGGAAGGAAACTCCACTGAATCAGCAATACTTTGGTGGTAGTTATCTATTCCTATTTGGCAATCTATTTGATTGGAGGCGATTCCTCTAATTAAGTAGCTAATTGTTTGGAGGAACCCATATCGTTAGGCAACACACAGTAAAAAATGTTAGAATGCTAACAATAAAGGACATTGCTGAGCAATATAACAGTGTTCATGAATAGAAGATATGTATTGCAATATCAATAGCGTAATAAACGTTTGTTTATTAATTGGCGGTAACCTATTAAGCCAGTCGTAATGGGGGTAGGAGTGGTTACAACTCATTTAAGTGTCGGAATTTTGATGAGAATGATCTATACCTCATTAATAATAGCCATAATATCAAAGGGCGGTAACTCGACTTAGTTTTCAGTTTATTGATGGGAGCTTACTATACCTAATTAGTCGTTCATTTAATGGGAGATAACTCCCCCTAAATTGTAGATTGTTAGCAGGAAAAAAAATCTCTTCATTTGCAGTTTATTGAGAAACTTTGCCAGTGGATATATCTAAAGCACTTATATTGATGGCAATTTATTTATACAAAATGTTTATTTTTTTTGCATTGGGAAATTAATAAGGGCTGATCAAAATAAGTTTAATGGGTCACGCCTAGCCTAATGTAACAAATTTTATTCTTAAAACAACAACAAAAAGGGCATTTTGGAATTTATTGTGACAAGCTTCATTTGTTTTTGAGTTTAGTTCTTTTCCCCCCCACCTTTTGTGGTTAAAATATGAATATCTCAACGTTATGTATGTGATGAAGGTCAGTTTGAACCATAAACACACGAATCTTGTTTCTTAGACCACAAGGCACCTAGTCTCACCGCACTGTGGTTTTTCGTATAGATAATAATCTCCACTAATTCCCTTTTTATATTACTGTAGCACAGTTGGGTCCATCCTCATATCCAGGATTTTATCTACACCCCTGGAATATGTCATAGCAAAATTAATGGCTCAGTGTGCGCCACCTTGTTGATGAGACAAGAATACTAGTTCGATCCTTTGATGTACATCCAAATAATCTCGCGGTCACGTAACGGTAAAAATTGACAGGCTCTGAAGTCGGCCGTTTCTCCTTTGTAATCTTCAAAGGACAGTTACCAGCCTAGCGATTGTTAAGTTTTTTTTTTTACCTGACACCAATCAAACAGCTATCTTCGTGCCTTCAATTTTTCTATGACATCTTCCAGGGGCGTAGAGAGCGAAAGTGAGCGTAACTCCTGTATATCCAGGATGAGTTGGGTCAGAAAGCTTCCATTGACCTGGTAGCTCAATTGTTTAGAGTGATAGTATAAATATAGGAAGACCATGGTCTCACTGTGCTGACTGTTCACACTGAGACACTGTTGTTGATTATATTTTGTTGATTTAATCTTTATTTGTTTGCATATGAGTCCCCACAAGGGCTGGTATTCTTATTTTTAGAAATGACTAGTTAAAACTTTAATCATGCCTGAAAAAACAATGGTTACAGATTTCGGCAGTGCAGTGGTACGGGGATCATAAATGAAAAACATATAGTTCATCATTGTTCTTAATCTGCTATTTGGCATTTATAATCAACACAGAATTAGCTACATTGCTTTTGGGTTTTTCCTACCTTTGCTTGATAATCAATCGAGTCGTGTTTTCTAGATGGCCCTTAGGGAAGTCACAATAACAACACCGTTTGTAATAGACGCTAATGGAATGTGATACAATAGGTTTGTAATAAACACCCGTAAACACCTACTTTATCTTACCTTGACATTCATTCGAGCCAATGAAGACGACCAGGGGAGCTACCAATTTAACCAATATTGGGTTTTTGTAATTATTGGTCACTGGGAGTAAAATGAAGCCAAAAATTATCGAAAACTAGCCGGTATTGTATTTTCGTTCAAATTAAGCAGTATTTCAATTATCCAAGTACAATGCAAGTTGGTTTGAATGTAATTCATTTATTTTACTTCCAAGCGCAATCAATTTCGTCAATTAGTTATACATGTAGCTTGGCAAGGGGTTAGAAAAGGTACCCCTATTGAACATGATGTGTCAGATGTAGAAATGTGAATAAATTGATAAAACCAGCGCTCCATTTATGTTTGCGCGTAAATCATGTGACATAATCAAGGGGTCCAACTCCAAATGATAACTTGTAATTCGGTCATTCAGCCGACATGAAAGTATCTAATTTGAGAAATAGCCATAACAAACGAATTTTCAAAATCCAAGATGGCTGCCCAACAGCCATTTTTTGTTGATCAAAAATAATGCACAACTCTGGGACACAGGGAACCTTGGTATGGAATTAGAGGAAGATTTGTCAAGAAGTTCTTGAGTAACAGTGATAATTTGATAAACTTCAAATTTCAAAATTCAAGATGTCTGACAGACAGCAATCTCGTTTATTAGTCAGTCGAAAAAAGATAAACCTACGTATGAAATTAGAGAAAGATCTGTTATGTATTTCCTGAGAAATAGCGATAACAATCTACAACTGTCATAATCCAGAATGGCTGACTAGAAATAGAATTTGAAAAAGACCTGTCAAGTACTTTTTCAGAAATATAGCAACTAAAACCTAAAGCTGTAAAAATACAAGCAGCCATCATGCTTTTCTGATGAGTCTCACAGTATAACATGTAAAGTAAAGACCAAGGAGAACTTTGAACATTGAAATTAGAGAAAGATTCATCAAGTTGTTCTTGAGAATAGTGATAGCAAGAACTGTTAAAAGATTGACGATGGATAGACAGACGGTCCACGAACTAAAGATGATTTGAACAGCAGTGATTTGATGACGGTGGTCTTAAATTATATCTATGCAAGTGATATATCTCATCTTGCTTCAAATGAGTTAAGTCTCATACAATACTGCTGACTATTTAGTTATAAGCAAAACCAGTAATATCGCGGAAAGGAAAGAATGTGAATGCTTTATGAATGAAAATAATGGAATTTTCTCCTACCTTGAGGGTGTTACGAAGAAAACTCCAACCCGGGAGGGGATATATTGATTGTCTTATCCGTGGCTCTGCCGAGCGTTCTCTCTCTATATAGGGGATGATTAATTTCCTTCCACTTTCATATTATGATACTAAATTGCACACGACCTCTCCAGTTTAGAGCTGTTTATGACTTTATATCTGATTGTTCAAGTAAAATCAAAGTATTCTTTCGTGCCACGGCTATTCCATATACCCTAGGAGGTGAATGGTGTACTTACTCCACACAGTGGGCAGCGGTGAGCACATGCTTAGGGCCGATGAGTGAAGCTCCGCACCAGTGTCCCCTATCCGTTTTGTGTAAGGAAAGCATGGAAGGGTAAAATCCAAGGGGTGTATCGTACCCATTTATAACCCTCTCCACTGGTGACAACGCCGAGGCTCCACACTCTGTATCAAATAAAATTGTGCAAGTGCTGGAAATCAGTTGGCATATTAAATGAAAGAAGAATTTTCAAAAGAAATAATGACTGTTCAGCTCCACTTTTTATTTTTTGCGTTAAAGTGTATACAGCTGAAAAACTACTACACACATTATTATATACTGTTTTTATATACATAATTATGTTCTGTTTCTATATCCATAATAATATACTGTTTTTATATACATAATTATATACTGTTTGTATATACATAATTATATACTGTTTTTATATACATAATTATATACTGTTTTATACACATATGCACAGTGAACAATCAAGGTCAATCTAGAAAAATTCATTTAAAAATGTAATCACTTACACTTTTAAACTCAAAGTTAATTTTTAAGTTTGCCTTTTTTTCTTCAAAAGTGAGAGTTACTTTTTAAGTTTAAAACATATGACCACTTAGCGTTGGACTGCTTTCAGTTTACATATCAATAATTATATTTACAATTTTTTAAATATGCTACGTAATCTCATAGGCATTAAATCGTCATATTTAGCAATCGGTTTTTTTGAAATCAATGTAGTATAACACGGCAATCTGTCTACGGAGAGTCAGAAGTATTCAACGCTTCAAATATGACGTTGATGACGTCAACAATTAGGTTATGGAGTTCCTAGCCGTTAAAACACACAAAAAGTTGGAGTAATATTGACTGCTTTGAAGGGCGATTCACCTACTTCAAATTGCGTTGCTGCTCATCAGCTTAGCTTTCAATTCTTTACAGGAGCCATTTTTATCTTCACATAATAAGGTGGCCAAGTAGCCATCTTGGATTTCAAATATAGTAATAATTTAAAAACCAATTAGTATCAATTTAATAGTTTTCAAGCCATTAAAGTTCCAAATCTTATTTCACTAATAATAATGATTATGGATAGGGTAAAGCATGACTAATGTTTTTAACAGTAATCATTATTATTAGCGTGCGAGATGTGGTCTAGTTTTTACTGTAACTTGTTTGTGTATTATTTCGTAGAAGCGTACGAGGTGTGGACTTGATTTTACTGTAATTTGTTTGTGTATTATTTCGTAGAAGCGTACGAGGTATGGTCTTGTTTTTACTGTAATTTGTTTGTGTATTATTTCGCAGAAGCGTACGAGGTGTGGTCTTGTTTAGGTATTATTTCGTAGAAGCGTACGAGGTATGGTCCTGTTTATGTATTATTTCGTAGAAGCGTAAGAGGTGTGGTATTGTTTATGTATTATTTCGTAGAAGCGTCCGAGGCGTGGTCCTGTTTATGTATTATTTCGTAGAAGCGTAAGAGGTGTGGTATTGTTTATGTATTATTTCGTAGAAGCGGCCGAGGTGTGGTCTTGTTTGTGTATTATATCGTAGAAGAGTACGAGGTGTGGTCTTGTTTATGTATTATATCGTAGAAGCGTCCGAGGTGTGGTCTTGTTTATTTATTATTTCGTAGAAGCGTACGAGGTATGGTCTTGTTTTTACTGTAATTTGTTTGTGTATTATTTCGCAGAAGCGTACGAGGTGTGGTCTTGTTTATTTATTATTTCGTAGAAGCGTCCGAGGTGTACTGTAACTTGTTTGTGTATTATTTCGTAGAAGCTTCCGAGGTGTGGTCTTGTTTATGTATTGTTTCGTAGAAGCGTACGAGGTGTGGTCTTGTTTATTTATTATTTCGTAGAAGCGTCCGAGGTGTGGTCTTGTTTATGTAATATTTCGTAGAAGCGTCTGAGGGGTGGGCTTGTTTGTGTATTATTTCGTAGAAGCGCACGAGGTGTGGTCTTGTTTATGTATTATATCGTAGAAGCGTCTGAGGTGTGGTCTTGTTTTTGTATTATTTCGTAGAAGCGTCCGAGGTGTGGTCTTGTTTATTTATTATTTCGTAGAAGCGTACGAGGTATGGTCTTGTTTTTACTGTAATTTGTTTGTGTATTATTTCGCAGAAGCGTACGAGGTGTGGTCTTGTTTATTTATTATTTCGTAGAAGCGTCCGAGGTGTGCTCTTGTTTGTGCATTATATCGTAGAAGCGTCTGAGGTGTGGTCTTGTTTGTGTATTATATCGTAGAAGAGTACGAGGTGTGGTCTTGTTTATGTATTATATCGTAGAAGCGTCCTAGGTGTGGTCTTGTTTGTGTATTATTTCGTAGCAGCGTCCGAGGTGTGGTCTTGTTTATGTATTATATCGTAGAAGCGTCCGAGGTGTGGTCTTGTTTTTACTGTAATTTGTTTGTGTATTATTTCGCAGAAGCGTACGAGGTGTGGTCTTGTTTTTACTGTAATTTGTTTGTGTATTATTTCGCAGAAGCGTACGAGGTGTGGTCTTGTTTACGTATTATTTCGTAGAAGCGTCCGAGGTGTACTGTAACTTGTTTGTGTATTATTTCGTAGAAGCTTCCGAGGTGTGGTCTTGTTTATGTATTGTTTCGTAGAAGCGTACGAGGTGTGGTCTTGTTTATTTATTATTTCGTAGAAGCGTACGAGGTGTGCTCTTGATTTTACTGTAATTTGTTTGTGTATTATTTCGCAGAAGCGTACGAGGTGTGGTCTTGTTTATTTATTATTTCGTAGAAGCGTCCGAGGTGTGGTCTTGTTTATGTAATATTTCGTAGAAGCGTCTGAGGGGTGGGCTTGTTTGTGTATTATTTCGTAGAAGCGTACGAGGGGTGGTCTTGTTTGTGTATTATATCGTAGAAGCGTCCGAGGTGTGGTCCTGTTTGTGTATTATATCGTAGAAGCGTCCGAGGTGTGGTCTTGTTTATGTAATATTTCGTAGAAGCGTCTGAGGTGTGTTCTTGTTTGTGTATTATTTCGTAGAAGCTTCCGAGGTGTGGTCTTGTTTATGTATTATATCGTAGAAGCGTCCGAGGTGTGGTCTTGTTTATGTATTATATCGTAGAAGCGTACGAGGTGTGGTCTTGTTTTTACTGTAATTTGTTTGTGTATTATTTCGCAGAAGCGTACGAGGTGTGGTCTTGTTTATTTATTATTTCGTAGAAGCGTCCGAGGTGTGGTCCTGTTTGTGTATTATATCGTAGAAGCGTCCGAGGTGTGGTCCTGTTTGTGTATTATATCGTAGAAGCGTCCGAGGTGTGGTCTTGTTTATTTATTATTTCGTAGAAGCGTCCGAGGTGTTGTCTTGTTTATGTATTATTTCGTAGAAGCGTAAGAGGTGTGGTATTGTTTATGTATTATTTCGTAGAAGCGTCTGAGGAGTAGTCTTGTTTGTGTATTATTTCGTAGAATCGTCCGAGCTGTGGTCTTGTTTGTGTATTATTTCGTAGTCGTAGAAGCGTACGAGGTGTGGACTTGATTTTACTGTAATTTGTTTGTGTATTATTTCGCAGAAGCGTACGAGGTGTGGTCTTGTTTATTTATTATTTCGTAGAAGCGTACGAGGTGTGGACTTGATTTTACTGTAATTTGTTTGTGTATTATTTCGCAGAAGCGTACGAGGTGTGGTCTTGTTTTTGTATTATTTCGTAGAAGCGTCCGAGGTGTGGTCTTGTTTATTTATTATTTCGTAGAAGCGTACGAGGTATGGTCCTGTTTATGTATTATTTCGTAGAAGCGTACGAGGTGTGGACTTGATTTTACTGTAATTTGTTTGTGTATTATTTCGCAGAAGCGTACGAGGTGTGGTCTTGTTTAGGTATTATTTCGTAGAAGCGTCCGAGGTGTGGTATTGTTTGTGTATTATTTCGTAGAAGCGTACGAGGTATGGTCCTGTTTATGTATTATTTCGTAGAAGCGTAAGAGGTGTGGTATTGTTTATGTATTATTTCGTAGAAGCGTCCGCGGTGTGGTCTTGTTTATGTATTATTTCGTAGAAGCGTAAGAGGTGTGGTATTGTTTATGTATTATTTCGTAGAAGCGTACGAGGTGTGGTCTTGTTATGCGATTTTGAGGGGAGAGTTACTGTGTGGTTTATGTTATAAGGTTCTCACACAAATGTATTAGTTTTCAGACTAAAGAGCAAACACAACTTTGGCCTTGTATATGCGTTTATTTTTAGATGTGAGATGAATTTACTTTTAAGCAACCTTCTCAAAAATCTATTGATTTGTTTGCTTTTTTGTAACATTGTCGTGAAAGTGTTTGATTCCATAATAGTCCAAACATTTAAATAGGACCTCTCTGTAAAATGAATCAGTTATATTTGTTTATCAAACTCTCCTAGAGCAGTCTTTTCAAAGCAAGGCTATCAAAATGATTTATTTGAATACAAATGCTGAATATCTATTTGAAAATACAGCAATTGAAACTAGATGTAATGGAATTCAAAATAACGATTTTATGAATCCAAAGACAAAAATGAAAAATAAATGAAAATTAAATTAAAATTAAAAATTATCGACCTTGAGTGGGAAATACCGACCTTGAGGGGAAACATACTGACCTTGAGGTTTACATTGGAGCTTCAATACAATACAGTCACTGGAACCACTAGAATAACAAGAATTTCACATAATTGGATATCTCGCTTGACCCTGCTTTGACCTTCAAAGGCACACAAACTTGGTTCAATTCAACTTTTATAATTTCTATTTAAAATACGAAGAATAAATATTTTAAATTCAAATCTTAAATTTTAATTTTGTAACATTTGAACTTATTTTCAAACATAAACTTTTAAATTGAATTTAATCTGTAGTTTAAATTCAGAAAAAAAACCTTAAATGCTAAACTCATACGTATATCAAAGTTAAATTTAAAATAATGAAAGTTAACATGTTTTGTATGATATTTTACCATTAGACAAATGCAGTGAGTGTATGAAGAGGCTAGCTCACCTTGTGGGTTGTATGGTGTGACTACGGATGGTACCCTCACTGTCAGTTGTGTAGTCCATGGTCACCGTGCTGCTGCTGTTAATTGCAGACTCGGGGAACGACAAAAACGCCCTGTCACCAACAAATAAGTAAATGTATATTTTAATTAATTTCATGATATTCCAGCAATATGTAGTAACATTTAATTAAAAATAAAATATGAGCAAACGTCAAGAGACTTTTTTAAATTTTATAACAATTATAAAACAAGTTTTATCAACTTATAATATTCACTTTTGTTGGCCCGGATATTATCGCGCAGGGCTTCTTATTGTTAAAGGAAAGCGGAGTACCCGGATAAACCCCACGTGTTCGGGCAGGTGTCCCCGTACCTGTTAACGTCTTGTAAGATAATCGATTTTTGGCCACCTTGGTGAAGGGTGAGTGCACTTTCCACTGCGCCACCCGACCACCATTTTAACTGGTATTGCATTATATTTGATATCATACTGTAAATAACGTGCTGTATCAGATATCGTGCTGTTCTTTATCACCTGTTGTGCAATACTCACCCTGAAGTGGCAAGAGCACATAGATACCCAGCCAACCTCGTGTCCTGCTCAGGCATGCAAATGTGTAACCAGTCGCCAACATGGTTTACCTCTACTGTATAGTCGTTGTTGATTCTTACTGTAAAATAAAACAACGACAATTCTATTAATTTTAATTTCATTATATAAACATATTTACATTTGCTATGCATTCTTCCATTGCAATGCATTTAGAAGGCAAATGTTGTTATGAGACTATAACAACATTCGCTATTGTGACGTTGTCAATCTATATTGTGACGTCATCAATTTCATTGTTGTCAACACTTAATTTGCTGTTCAAAGACTGTTCGAAATAACTAAATAAAGCATAACTTCTATATCAAAATGTAAATAAAAGTAATGAATATTTTAGCAAATGTTGTTATGGTCCTGTAACACACATTTCTATGGCTGACAAACTTACATAAAGCCTAACCGGTCTTGTTTAAGTTTGTCATCAATAGCAATGTGTGTTATATGACAATCCATTGATTAAATATGGGTTCAAAGAAGTAATGTGATCGGTGAATTANTTTGATGTACATCAAAGGATCAAACCTGTCTTGTGTCATCCACAAGGTGGCGCATACTGAACCTTTGCTCCTTTTATGACATATTCCAGTGGTTCAGAGAGTGAAAGTTAGCATAGCCTCTGTAGTATCGATGACGGGGTAGTGAACACATCTACATACTTACCACAGGAGAACTCGTCGGACCAGTCCCCACAATCGTTGTTACCGTCACATCGCTTAGACAAGGGCATGCACCTGTGGTTGTCACACTCATATTCATGTGCACTACTGCAGTTAGCTACAAAACACAAAGTTCTCAAAATGTTTGTATCGTGTGATGAAAACTCAAATGGATTAAAAGATATCCACATGTATGAACTGACAGACAGAAACAAACTTAGAATTCCTTGCTATCATGTTTTGACATTGATTAATGATGCTTTGAATTTCCATTTCTAATGATACTATTTAAACTCCAGGTTATGTGAGTTAGTCTAGTTCATGTGGCAAAATCTTGTTCTCATCAAAGTTCTGAGTAAATGTGTGTCAAAATAGAAACAAGTCCTTGGTTAACCTAACAACCAGTCCAAAGATTAACTTAGAAACCAGTTCTTATTTAACCTACCAACAAGTCCTAAGATAAACCTTGAGACCAGTTCTTGGTTAACCTACCAACCAGTCCTAAGACAAACCTTGAAACCAGTCCTTGGTTAACCAACCAACCAACCAGTCCTAAGGCAAACCTTGAAACCAGTCCTTGGTTTATTTACCAACCAGTCCTAAGATAAACCTTGAAACCAGTCCTTGTTTAACCTACCAACCAGTTATTGGTAAACCTACCAACCAGTGCTAAGATAAACCTTGAAACCAGTCCCCTTAGATAAACCAAGAAACCAGTTCTTAGATAAACCTACCAACCAGTCCTTAGATAAACCTACCAACCAGTCCTTAGATAAACCTACCAACCAGTCCTTAGATAAACCTACCAACCAATCCTTAGATAAACCTACCAACCAATCCTTAGATAAACCTACCAACCAATCCTTAGATAAACCTACCAACCAATCCTTAGATAAACCTACCAACCAATCCTTAGATAAACCTACCAACCAATCCTTAGATAAACCTACCAACCAATCCTTAGATAAACCTACCAACCAATCCTTAGATAAACCTACCAACCAATCCTTAGATAAACCTACCAACCAGTCCTTAGATAAACCTACCAACCAATCCTTAGATAAACCTACCAACCAATCCTTAGATAAACCTACCAACCAATCCTTAGATAAACCTACCAACCAGTCCTTAGATAAACCTACCAACCAGTCCTTAGATAAACCTACCAACCAGTCCTTAGATAAACCTAACAAATTAAAATGTTGTTCTAACGCAGTATTAGTGAATCCTTTCCAATCAGAAAATGTTTGGGTCTGCCAAACTGTTTAATCAGTAACCAAGGACAATTAATCACATGGTGTCAAAATGCAAATTTTGATGTTAATTTCAAAACGGTTTTCAGTCGACGTTTGTAATCTGGTGGAACTGGTAGCCTTGCAATTCAGCATGATTTTGTAAGTTTATTATAAACGAAATTCGACTTTAAGGAACGATAAAAATGCTACCTTTGCTGTATTAACATTAAGATGAGGATTAAAATGCATCGTTTTATCATTGATCATGGTATACAGTTCCGTTCAATCATGTTTTGTTCATTTTGGAGAATATATTGGCAATGGACCTGTGTTCCATACCATTAAAAATGTTAAAAGATGCATTTCTTTAAACAAATGAATACATTCATAGAAAATAAAAATATAACCATGGCCCAACTAAACTATAAATATCAGAAACAAACATTTTTAGAATAAACATGTAAGGGGAGATAATAATTACCACAGTAATGCTCGTCCTCAGCTTGTGGACAGTCTACAATGCCGTCACACCACTTCTCTGCCTTGACACAGGTAGCATTAGAAGGTTTAGTCATATCACCGGGGGAGACACAGGCCTTCTCACCAGCGATGCATACTGTCATGAAATAATGATATGTTAATAAATAAAATATAAAATGGTTCAGAAGAGAGATGAAAAAATAAAAAATAAAATGGTTAAGAAGAGAGATGAAGATACAACTGCTGTCACATCATGACTATTTGTAACTAGAGAACAGTGAACAGCTATTTGATCCCTGGGTCTAATATCATTATACTGTCACTATAACCAACTGAGCTGCCTGATCAAACAGCTATTTGATCCCCTTGATCTCATATAATTATACTGACACTATAACCAAATAAGCTGCCTGATCAAACAGCTATTTGGTCCCTGGGTCTCATATTATTATACTGTCACTATAACAAACTAAGTTCCCTGATCAAACAGCTATTTGATCCATGGGTCTCATAATATTACAATGTCACTATAACCAACTAAGCTGCCTGATCAAACAGCTATTTGGTCCCTGGGTCTCATATTATTATACTGTCACTATAACAAACTAAGTTCCCTGATCAAACAGCTATTTGATCCATGGGTCTCATACCATTATACTGTCGCTATAACCAACTGAGCTGCCTGATCAAACAACTATTTGATCCCTGGGTCTCATAATATTATAATGTCGCTATAACCAACTGAGCTGCCTGATCAAACAGCTATTTGATCCATGGGTCTCATAATATTATAATGTCTCTATAACCAACTGAGCTGCCTGATCAAACAGCTATTTGATCCCTGGGTCTCATACCATTATACTGTCACTATAACCAACTAAGCTGCCTGATCAAACAGATATTTGATCCATGGGTCTCATATCATTATACTGTCACTATAACCAACTAAACTGCCTGATCAAACAGCTGTTTGATCCATGGGTCTCATACCATTATACTGTCTCTATAACCAACTAAGCTGCCTGATCAAACAGCTATTTGGTCCATGGGTCTCATAATATGATAATGTCTCTATAACCAACTGAGCTGCCTGATCAAACAGCTATTTGATCCCTGGGTCTCATAATATTATAATGTCACTATAACCAACTGAGCTGCCTGATCAAACAGCTATTTGATCCATGGGCCTCATACCATTATACTGTCGCTATAACCAACTGAGCCGCCTGATCAAACAGCTATTTGGTCCCTGGGTCTCATAATATTATAATGTCACTATAACCAACTAAGCTGCCTGATCAAACAGCTTTTTGATCCCTGGATCTCATAATATTATAATGTCGCTATAACCAACTGAGCTGCCTGATCAAACAGCTATTTGGTCTATGGGTCTCATACCATTATACTGTCACTATAACCAACTAAGCTGCCGGATCAAACAGCTGTTTGATCAGGCAGCTAAGTTGGTTATAGTGACAGTATAATGGTATGAGACGCGTGGATCAAATAGCTGTTTGATCAGGCGGCTCAGTTGGTTATAATGTCGCTATAACCAACTGATCTGCCTGATCAAACAGCTATTTGGTCCCTGGTTCCCATAATATTATACTGTCACTATGACCAACTAAGCTGCCTGATCAAACAGCTATTTTGATCCCTGGGTCTCATAATATTATAATGTCGCTATAACCAACTAAGCTGCCTTATCAAACAGCTATTTGGTCCCTGGGTCTCATACTATTATACTGTCACTATAACCAACTAAGCTGCCTGATCAAACAGCTATTTGATCCCTGGGTCTCATACCAGTATACTGTCACTATAACCAACTTAGCTGCCTGATCAAACAGCTATTTGATCCACGGGTCTCATACCATTATATTGTTGCTATAACCAACTGAGCTGCCTGGTCAACGACAGTGTCTTTGCTCTTGAAAATCAGACAGATTGGACATAATTAAGACACTCATGTGTGGAATAATCTAGCTTTTCGCCTGTAGTGATAAAGGAATATTTAAGTATCTAAATAATAAATTGCTCAATGTCGACTTATATTAGTCTTTTTGTTGTTGATTGCAATAAAACCGAGCAGAGTTGACTAATGTGCATGTGTGTAAGTATATAAAAAGATGATGGCATAATAAATATATACACATATATTACCATCGTCTGAACATGCTATGGCCACTTGGTCATCAGTGGTACAATCAGCTTCTGTGATATTACACTCGTAAAGCATCTTCTCTGTACCATTGCAAGAAAATGTTTCGAACATCACAGCTCCACTGTTGGATCTAATCCTCCCATATTCCCCTCTCCTGAACGTCCTTGTGGTTATGTCATGGGGGCTAAAACACAAAATAATAGCTCCCACTTTAACCATAGGTATGGCAAAGAGATTAACGTATATCCAATCTGGGAATCAACTATTGTAGAGGAACATTCAATAGAGTCAAATTTCTAACCGGGATAGATGTAATAGACAGGAAACCAAATTAACAGCCACACGAAAATAACTTCAGGTCAACATGATTGAATAATTCAAACTCAAAAATAAAAAAAAAGACTTACATACTAACATTGGAAAGGCATTCATGAAGACTCTTGAAAAGGTACAAGAATAAAAGGAACCACCAATTTAATCAAATTTCTAACCTGGATAGATGTAATAGACAGGATTAAACCAAACCATTGATAAGGTAACACTTGAACAATGGAAAGGTCTACATCAAGACTATTGTGTACAAGGAGAACAAGATGAGATGTTACAGAAGAGTAAATTTTCAAAACTGAAGGTGATAGAAAGGCAAACATTATTCTTTCCCAACTTAGAAATTATTGTAGTGATTTAAAGTTTGATTTGCATCATGACCACCTAACTGATAGTCCAGTATGTACTTGTTCAGATGAGTTGGAAACAGTCTTTAATTTTTTTGTTAGAATGTCCTATTTACTATGATTTGAGGATTAATTTATTCAACTCACTCAGTAATTATGCCCTTGACCATAACCATATCGATATTGAAATTATTTTACTACATGGTTGTCCTAATTGTGAAGGTAATACAAACAGTCTAGTGCTTCGTGATATACATTACTTTATTGGGAAATCCAAACGTTTTAACTTTTACAAGATCTAGAAAGCCATTTTATTGACAAAAAACTGTAATTTTCTATGAAAACAGTTGAACATGGTTGTGAATTTATTTGATTATGTAATAAATATATATTTTCATTTAATTATTTTGTGCTCCTCTACACAATGTTTTACTTATACTTTTGATAAATGTACATATCGGGTTAAATCTGTAGATTAAATAGTTACATATAAATAATTAATACACAGTTTAGGTGGTGATGACCTGTGCAGTACTTGCACATGGACTTTTGGTCTATCTACTCAACTGTATCGAATGTTAAATAGTAACTCATGTGAACACGTGTAATTAAGATAATTAATAACTATATTTATGTTTTGTTTGGGTGTGTGTGTCTGTGTCGGTGTGTGTTTGTCCTATGTTGTATTGTAAATAATCAAAAGTGAGTTACCTCCCTTTAATTACTTTATCGTTTACATTTATGTATTTTCATTTCAAAATATCTATAAAATACATTTAGCTATAGTTCTATAATATTATTGTAATACTCTAGCCACCTATGGAAAGAATTCATATAAGCTTGCCTGTTATTCGATCCATTTGACCATAACACCATGTCAATAAAATCTGTTGAAATGAGAAGAGTAAACGTCTTCAAATTCATTGATTACTTGGTCGTAGTCAAAACAAAGGAATTTCTCCACCTCAAAACGTGAAAGTCTTCTTCAGCATGTGCCTCTCATAATGTCGTATCGTAATTTTAATAATGAATTAACAGCGACATTTAAACACTCTTGACTAGGTAATGTAAGGCAATGAGACGTGATCAATGGATCTGTAACTTTGACCTATGGATACAAATGTTTTACTTTGACCTTACAGTATTTATACAGAACTGTGACCTTGACATATCGACACATTTAACGAAATTTTAACAATGATCTGTGGATGCAGCTCAATACTTTAACCCTTGGATACCGATAATTATTCTAACCTATGGCTTCAGAACATAACTCTGACCTATGGATACAGATACTTACTTTGACCTATGGCTTCAGAACATAACTCTGACCTATGGATACAGAACTCTAACGTTGACTTATTAATACAGGTACTTACTTGGTCTATGGGTACAGAACTGAAACGTTGACTTATGAATGCAGGTAATTCCTTTGACCTATGGGTACAGAACTGAAACGTTGACCTTTGGATAAAGAACTGTAACGTTGACCTATGGATACAGGTCATTACTTCGATCTATGGGTACAAAACTGAAACGTTGACCTATGAATACAGAACTGTAACGTTGACTTATGAATACAGGTAATTACTTTGTCCTATGGATACATAACTGTAACAATGTCCTACGGATACATGTCATTACTCTAACCTATGGATACAGGTCATTACTCTAACCTATGGATACAGGTCCATACTTTGACCTATGGATACAGGTAATTAATTTGACCTATGGATACAGAACTTTAACGTTGACCAATGTATACAGGTCATTACTCTAACCTATGGATACAGGTCATTACTTTGACCTTGTGGCCATAGGTCATTACTCTGACCTATGGATACAGAACTGTAACGTTGACCTATGGATACAGGCCATTACTTTGACCTTGTAGCCATAGGGCATTACTCTGACCTATGGATACAGAACTGGAACGCTGACTTATGAATACAGGTACTTACTTTGACCTATGGATACAGAACTGTAACGTTAACCTATGGATACAGGTCATTACTCTAACCTATGGGTACAGAACTGTAACGTTAACCTATGGATAGGGGTAATTAATTTGACCTATGGATACAGGTCCATACTTTGACCTATGGATACAGGTAATTAATTTGACCTATGGATACAGAACTTTAACGTTGACCAATGTATACAGGTCATTACTCTAACCTATGGGTACAGAACTATAACGTTGCCCTATGGATACAGGTCATTACTTTGACCTTGTAGCCATAGGTCATTACTCTGACCTATGGATACAGAACTGTAACGTTGACTTATGAATACAGGTACTTACTTTGACCTATGGATACATAACTGTAACAACGACCTACGGATACAGGTCATTACTCTAACCTATGGGTACATAACTATAACGTTAACCTATTGATACAGGTCATTACTTTGACCTATGGATACAGAACTGTAACGTTAACCTATGGATACAGGTCATTACTCTAACCTATGGGTACAGAAATGTAACGTTGACCTATGGATACAGGTCATTACTCTGACCTATGGATACAGAACTGTAACTTTGATATATGGATACAGGTCATAACTCTGACCTATGGATACATAACTGTAGCAATGACCTACGAATACAGGTCATTACTCTGACCTATGGATACAGAACTGTAACTTTGACATATGGCAGGGGAACTTGACATAGCTAAACAATTAACAGACTGACACTTATAACTTTAAATACTTTATGATTCTCACCCAAATCCAAGTTGTCGACAGAGGACGTTTGTGTTATTATCGGTCCAAGCTGAGTGACACACTGCCTGGAACGAATTGTTGTTCGATGCTATTTCCACTCGACCATAACTCACTCTGTCCCCGCCCACAAGGCGAAATTCATAAGAAACTTGATCTGACGTATCTGTGTCTAGCTGATCTGTAAAACAATTTATTGTGAAATTGATTGTATCATCATCACTCTCTGAGTTAGCTAAACTGATATCTTTTATCGTAATTCAAGTACGGTTTACCGAGCTTTTTTTGCTGCAGTTTACTTTTCGCCTTTAAACACTCCGAAATAAGGGCGAATTTAGCATTACAGCGAACATTTGAAAACAACATAATAAACATAGTAATTGAATGCAAAGGGAGAATCTACGTATCGGGCGAAAATTAATTTTACTGTTTAAGGATGAAAATTCAACTGGGCGAACATTTCCTGGTAAACGCAAATGCTGACGGACAGACAGACACTGTTATTACTATAGGGCACCAAAATCTCAAATGTTTCACCCTAATAGATAGTTTTATGTAAAAATGATAATGTAATGTACGTCAGGTGATAATGCAATATACGTCAGGTGATAATGTAATGTACGTCAGGTGTAATGTACGTCAGGTGATAATGTAATGCACGTCAGGTGTACTGTAATGTACGTCAGATGATAATATAATGTACGTCAGGTGATAATGTAATGTACGTCAGGTGTACTGTAATGTACATCAGGTGATAATGTAATGTACGTCAGGTGTACTGTAATGTACATCAGGTGATAATGAAATGTACGTCAGGTGTAATGTAATGTACGTCATGTGAGAATGTTATGTACGTCAGGTGTAATGTAATGTACGTCATGTGAGAATGTTATGTACGTCAGGTGTAATGTAATGTACGTCATGTGAGAATGTTATGTACGTCAGGTGTAATGTAATGTACGTCATGTGAGAATGTTATGTACGTCAGGTGTAATGTAATGTACGTCATGTATACTGTAATGTACATCAGGTGATAATGTAATATACGTCAGGTGATAATGCAATGTACGTCAGGTGATAATGTAATGTACGTCAGGAGTACTGTAATGTACATCAGGTGATAATGTAAGGTACGTCAGGTGATAATGTTATAAACATCAAGTGATAATGTAATGTACGTCAGATGATAATGTAATGTGCATCATGTGTAATGTAACGTACGTCATGTGATATTGTAATGTACGAAAGGTGATAATGTTATAAACATCAGGTGATAATGTAAGGTACGTCAGGTGATAATGTTATAAACATCAAGTGATAATGTAATGTACGTCAGATGATAATGTAATGTACGTCAGGTGTAATGTAATGTATGTCATGTGTACTGTAATGTACGTCAGGTGTAGTGTAATGTACGTCAGGTGATAATGTAATGTACATCAGGTGATAATGTAAGGTACGTCAGGTGATAATGTTATAAACATCAAGTGATAATGTAATGTACGTCAGATGATAATGTAATGTGCATCATGTGTAATGTAACGTACGTCATGTGATATTGTAATGTACGAAAGGTGATAATGTTATAAACATCAGGTGATAATGTAAGGTACGTCAGGTGATAATGTTCTAAACATCAGGTGATAATGTAATGTACGTCAGATGATAATGTAATGTGCATCATGTGTAATGTAACGTACGTCATGTGATATTGTAATGTACGAAAGGTGATAATGTTATAAACATCAGGTGATCATGTAATGTACGTCAGGTGATAATGTAATGTACATCAGGTGATAATGTAAGGTACGTCAGGTGATAATGTTATAAACATCAAGTGATAATGTAATGTACGTCAGATGATAATGTAATGTGCATCATGTGTAATGTAACGTACGTCATGTGATATTGTAATGTACGAAAGGTGATAATGTTATAAACATCAGGTGATAATGTAAGGTACGTCAGGTGATAATGTTATAAACATCAGGTGATAATGTAATGTACGTCAGATGATAATGTAATGTGCATCATGTGTAATGTAACGTACGTCATGTGATATTGTAATGTACGAAAGGTGATAATGTTATAAACATCAGGTGATAATGTAAGGTACGTCAGGTGATAATGTTATAAACATCAGGTGATAATGTAAGGTACGTCAGGTGATAATGTTCTAAACATCAGGTGATAATGTAATGTACGTCAGATGATAATGTAATGTACGTCAGGTGTAATGTACGTCAGGTGATAATGTAATGCACGTCAGGTGTACTGTAATGTACGTCAGATGATAATGTAATGTACGTCAGGTGATAATGTATGTCAGGTGATAATGTAATGTACATCAGGTGATAATGTAAGGTACGTCAGGTGATAATGTTATAAACATCAGGTGATAATGTAAGGTACGTCAGGTGATAATGTTATAAACATCAAGTGATAATGTAATGTACGTCAGATGATAATGTAATGTGCATCATGTGTAATGTAACGTACGTCATGTGATATTGTAATGTACGAAAGGTGATAATGATATAAACATCAGGTGATAATGTAATGTACGTCAGATGATAATGTAATGTGCATCATGTGTAATGTAACGTACGTCATGTGATATTGTAATGTACGAAAGGTGATAATGTTATAAACATCAGGTGATCATGTAATGTACGTCAGGTGATAATGTAATGTAAGTCAGGTGATAATGTAATGTATGTCAGGTGATAATGTAATAAACGTCAGGTGATAATGTAATGTACGGCAGGTGTAGTGTACGTCAGGTGATTATGTATGTCAGGTGATAATGTAATATACGTTAGGTGTAATGTAATGTACGTCAGGTGTAATGTAATGTACGTCATGTGTACTGTAATATACATCAGGTGATAATGTAATGTACGTCAGGTGATAATGTAATGTACGTCAGGTGTAGTGTACGTCAGGTGATTATGTATGTCAGGTGATAATGTAATAAACGTTAGGTGTAATATAATGTACGTCAGGTGTAATGTAATGTACGTCATGTGTACTGTAATGTACATCAGGTGATTATGTAATGTACGTCATGTGATAATGTAATGTACGTCAGGTGATAATGTATGTCAGGTGATAATGTAATGTACATCAGGTGATAATGTATTATACGTTAGGTGTAATGTAATGTACGTCATGTGTACTGTAATATACATCAGGTGATAATGTAATGTACGTCAGGTGATAATGTTATGTACGTCAGATGTAATGTACGTCAGGTGTAATGTACGTCAGGTGATAATGTTTGTCAGGTGATAATGTTATGTACTTCAGGTGATAATGTAATGTATGTCAGGTGAAAAAAGATGTCATATAATATTATCACCTTGCAAACAAAATTAACATGAAAAATCATAATGAAAACATAGAAAAATGAAAAAGAAAATGATAAATGCTGAAAAATGGATTTTAAATATTGAAATTGCCATTATTAGTTACATATGCTTTTATTGTTTAGGTGTTATCTTTGAGGTGGGAGAGGTAATGATGCCAATAAATTATTGCACTTTCGACCACTTGCAGTGACCTTGATTGAGGGAAAGGGGCGTGCTCTTTACCGCAGATAAACCCCATTGCTTCATCCCTACGAAAAACCATCCCGTAGCATGAAGGCACGGTTCTTAGCACATATTACTCTCTCAATACTTTGTAGACTGAAACCTGTATAAAATGACCACATATGGAAAGTCCAAAACAATAGCCTCCAATTGAGATGGTCTCTTAACACAGGTTAAGTGAAAAAAGAAATGAATAAATTTGAGAATATAACAAGTGGTCTCTCAACACAGTTGGTCTATCGATAGAGGTGGACACAGTCAGTTTCGACTGTACTTAGACAATGGTTTGTATCATCAGAACAATGCACGTGTTTCTTACCTTCCGGACAAGATTCATTAACTAGTACAATATAGTCAACAGCCACATCCCCTCGGAAGCCATCTCCGTCAGTAGCCTCTATACTGATCTGTCAAAGGAAAACATGACAAATTTCTTAATTTGGGGACAACAATTCCAACATGGTAGAATTGATTAAATGATATCGTTACATATCCCGGTAGCTGTCTACTTTAAGTCATACAAAACATCAACGATGATGTGCTTGAAAGGTTGTCATTATGAATGCTCGTACAGAAATTTACGAGAAATATTCATTTCTATTACATTTCACTAATAATACAATCCTCAACAAACAGGACGTTGGTCATCTCCTACTCTGTTTGGGGACCTGATTTCGTTATGAGAAAAAGAGATTGGCACCAAGAATGCGGTAGCAACAGACGACAGATGGTCTCAAGTAGTTCTGTGTAATCAAGGTTACTCAGACGTTTGACATATATAACAGATGATATAATACATTTAAGAGTGCATGTGAATCAGTACTAATGCAAGCAGATAAAACTGAACCATTGTAGACTATAGGACACACGTAATGTCCCTTTGCAGAGGTTATTGGTTGAAATACATAGGTCAAAGTGGACAAATAAAATGATGGTCTTCACAACACCCTAAATGTACTCTCATGCTAAATAATATGACAGGAACTATGCACTGAACACAGTATTACGGAACGGACGACATGCATTCCTGCAGATAAACTGCAGAAGTACCGGTGGGGATCTATTCCGAGTTCCATGCGATGACACTGGTGGGGGAGGAGGCTACTCCCATTACCGTGCAGTTATATCAGTGGAGACCCTCTCAGCCCTAAGCAGTAATTATGGTGAAGGCAAGTTCTATTCCTGCGCAGTATTACACGCAATAAATATTTTTGATGAAAGAGTGTATGAGATGTGCCCGGACAATGTGACGCACTGGCGGTCAGACAGACTGATTGACTAAGCAACTGACGGACAGATTGCAAATAATAGTTATATAGTGGAACCTAAATGAGGATGAACAATCGCAAATATGTCCCTCCAAACTGAAAAATGGTGAACAGATATGCTTTTATATTTTTCTGATTAAGTCATATGCAGTATAAATTTGGCATTGGAAATATAAAATGGAAGGTTACTCACGTTTTGGGGCATGCCTGAGGATGAAATGTTGATTTTATCTTTCAGCCAATACGGGCCTTGATCTCCAGACTTTGACCAGAGTTCGCTTCTGACTTGGTTCTTTTCTACGTATATTGCCAGTTTGCCCATGCTTATACCATACATGTTATAGTAGAAATAGAGACAACTTGGGGTTTCTGAAACAGACAACAAAATATATATATCACTAGCCACATATCTCACATCAGGATTTTGTCAAAGGTATATAATAATAATAATAATAATAATATTTGGAGGTTCGTATATACCTTTTTATCACAACCTAGTTCGTAGGTCGTCTTAAAGTGGTTCACACATTATTATCCGTGTTTATAGGGCCTTTGAAACCGGTCAACATCTTTCGCAACTCCCTGGGGATCACACAGCCATTCTAGCACTGCCCAACCACGTACTCATTTATAGCTGAGTAGACTAGAACAAGCGGATTAAAGAGTATCTTGCTCAAAGATACAACACAGTGCCATGCCGTGGCTCGAACCCGCAACCCTTCGGTCACGAGCCCGGTGTACTACCACTACACTACCGTGCCTCTTATATATGTGTCAATTCAATTTCAAGATCGCAAATACCAAGTCAAATATTCCTCATAATCAAATAGTTAACAAAAATATATCTACCTCTTTATCTGGTAGATACTCATATATCATATGCAATGAAAAAGATATATATACTCTCTCTATATATATACTCTATAAACTTTGGTAACAATACATATATATACTCTATAAACTATGTTAACAATACATATATATACTCTATACACTTTGTTAACAATAAATATATATACCCTATAAACTTTGTTAACAATACATAAATATATAGAGTTTATATATATGTATTGGTAACAAAGTTTATAGAGTACATATATGTACCGTTAACAACGTTTATAGAGTTTATATATTTATACCCTATAAACTTTGTTTACAAGACGTATATATATTCTATAAACTTTGTTAACAATACATATTTATACCCTATAAACTTTGTTAACAATAAATATATATACTCTATACACTTTGTTAACAATACATATATATACTCTATACACTTTGTTAACAATACATATATATACTCTATAAACTTTGTTAACAATACATATATATACCCTATAAACTTTGTTAACAATACATATATATATATACTCTTTACACTTTGTTAACAATAATTATCTATAAACTCTATAAACTTTGTTAACAATACATATATATACCCTATAAACTTTGTTAACAATACATATATATACTCTATACACTTTGTTAACAATACATATATATATAAACTCTATAAACTTTGTTAACAGTACATATATATACTCTATAAACTTTGTTAACAATATATATATATACTCTATACACTTTGTTAACAATACATATATATATAAACTCTATAAACTTTGTTAACAGTACATATATATACTCTATAAACTTTGTTAACAATACATATATATACTCTATACACTTTGTTAACAATACATATATATACTCTATAAACTTTGTTAACAATACATATATATACTCTATAAACTTTGTTAACAATACATATATATACTCTATACACTTTGTTAACAATACATATATATACTCTATAAACTTTGTTAACAATACATATATATACTCTATAAACTTTGTTAACAATACATATATATACTCTATACACTTTGTTAACAATACTTATATATACTCTATAAACTTTGTTAACAATACATATATATACTCTATAAACTTTGTTAACAATAATTATATATGCTCTATAAACTTTGTTAACAATACATATATATACTCTATACACTTTGTTAACAATACATATATATATATATACTCTATACACTTTGTTAACAATACATATATATACTCTATAAACTTTGTTAACAATACATATATATACTCTATAAACTTTGTTAACAATACATATATATACTCTATACACTTTGTTAACAATACATATATATACTCTATAAACTTTGTTAACAATACATATATATACTCTATAAACTTTGTTAACAATACATATATATACTCTATACACTTTGTTAACAATAATTATATATAAACTTTATAAACTTTGTTAACAGTTCATATATATACTCTATAAACTTTGTTAACAATACATATAATAACTCTATAAACTTTGTTAACAATACATATATATACTCTATACACTTTGTTAACAATAATTATATATAAACTTTATAAACTTTGTTAACAGTTCATATATATACTATATAAACTTTGTTAACAATACATATAATAACTCTATACACTTTGTTAACAATACATATAATAACTCTATAAACTTTGTTAACAATACATATATATACTCTATAAACTTTGTTAACAATACATATATATATACTCTATACATTTTGTTAACAATACATATATATACTCTATAAACTTTGTTAACAATACATATGCCTGTCTCACCCTAGGGTTGAGACGGGGTTTTCCCCTATTCATAACAATGGTATGACGTCAACAATAATAATCATAATATACAACATTTATATTGCGCCCTATTTATTTTGTAAAATTACTCTAAAGCGCTTTACAACATATGGATAATAGTAATAGTTATAATTGCGAAACAAAAACAAAGGCTTAAAATCTCTTTCATACATTTAAGCAAGCAATGTGCACATGATTGAACAAATAAAGGATGGTATTTACATGATGTCTTTGCAGAGACCCTAAAATGCACACGTGAAGAGGTGAGTTTTGATGTTCCTCTTGAATTTGGCCAGGGTATTTGACTTTCTAATAGGAGATGGTAAGCTATTCCACAACGTGGTCGAAACCCTCCCAAAGCACTGGTTTCCATAAGTGATAGTACGAAATTTTGGGACACACAACAATGATTCTGTCTCCGACCACAGTGCGCGTTACGGCTGATACATGGTAACAAGCTCATGTAGGTTCTTCAATTCCTCCTTGTCCATTCCAGGCTTCTTTAACAACGGTCTTACATGTGCCTTCTTAAAACACAATGGAACCCTTTGCCAATGATTTGTTCATGATTGAGGTAAACAAAGGAAGCAGTGCTTTAAGACATTGCTTTCATTGGTCTGTAGGCAGTGGATCAAACTCTCACAGGACTTCGATTGCGAGGTCATGATTGATATTGCGCAATTCGTCTTGAGTTGTTGGTGGGAGCTTTGCCAATGGTTCCCCATCAAATTCAATGTCAGCAGTCATAACAAAGATATCATTGTCAGCAGAAGAGTTCACTTCGTCAAAATGTTTCCTGATTGAGCTGATTTTATTCAGAAAGTAATCACTGAACTTGTTTGATAAGTCTTTTTCAGAATTACAGCTTGGCAGGATAATTTCAATTGTATGGCCCATTAGGTTTTTGGTGAGTTTAAAAGGCTGTCTATGATCCTTACCACATTCTTCGATTCTTTCCGAATAATAAGCCTTCTTTGACTGAATGAGAAGTGAACCAACTAGCCGACATTGTTCCCTATTAATCTGTTGGTGAATGGTTAATTTGGTCCGTCGCCACTGTCTTTCTGCTTTTCTACGGTTCTGTTTTTTTACGCGGAGATTTTCATTATACCACGGGGCATTCGGTCTCACAGTTATCACCTGTCTGTAGTCTGTAGAGTCGCGGAAGATGCGTGTTTCTCTATAAGGGCTTCTGCTTCTATACCAGATGTGTATCATCAACCCCGCCTTCAGTAGATTGAAGGGCGAAAGAAGACTGGATGTCATTGTTGAAATCTGGTATTGAAATTTCGCGGAATTTCCGGAAGCTCACCCCTTTCCTTGCACGATCTGGCTTACTACAATTAAATGTTGCGTGGACAGCAAGATGATCACCAGATTGGCTCCCCTTTACATCACTTTGACATAAATGAATCACTGAAATTGCTCCATAAATGACTATGGGTGACCATGGGTGTGTGTAGCGTCTGTCACATGCTGAATCAGACCCCTGGAATCTAGTAGCCCAGAGAACTGGCGAGCATCAACATTAGATAGATCGTCTAAGTGGAAATTTAGGTCACACGTGATAATAATCTCTTGTAGTACAACAACTTGGTGGGCTAAAAAGGTAGACCATTCATTAAACAAGAGGACAAGAGGGCCTTATTGCTCACCTGGATATCTAAGCAATCATGGCAAGATATTATCCAAATGAGATACAAGGGAATCGGTCAGACCCCAAGGCCTATCCCTGTAGCATAGCTGTATTAGATTTTTCATGCTCAGCAATTTTATGCATGGTTATGGGGTGGGGATCTCAACTGTTTCCAATCTATGATAAGGAAACTAGGTCCCTAGGGTTGTGGCCAGACCCTAGGATCAATTCTAATATCATTACTGCATTCGTCTCGTTATGCCCAGCAGATGTATGCATAGTTATCGGGTGAGGATCGCAACTGTTTTAAAGATATAACCCAGAAACTAAGTCCCTAGGGGAGGGGAAAGACCCCAGGGCCCATTTTAACATCATGCTTGTGTTTATCTCTTGATGCCCATCAATGCTATATATGGTTATCGGGCGGGGATCTCAACGGTTTCAAAGATATAACCGAGACACTAAGTCCCTAGGGGTGGGGAAAGACATCAGGGCCTATTTTTACATCATGCTTGTGTTTGCCTCTTGATGCCCAGCAATACTATATATGGTTATGGGGTGGGGATCTCAACTGTTTCAAAGATACAACGATCAATAACATACAATATTGACCCCACCCAGCCACTTGACCCAAGGGCCATACATTTCAAAAATTCAAAAGAGAGCTAGTTGATAATTATATTTAAGTGTGCCATTACTCTCTGCTACTTGAAGGAGTAGAGAAGAAGATTTTTAAAGATAACCCCATTTTTTTACTTATTTGGCCCCGCCCCTCAGGCCCCTGAGCGTGCAGCGCCATAAATTTCAGCCAGATCCCCATGTCCTAGTGATGATCAAAGTCGAATTGTCGAATTTGGTCATAATTGACCCAGTAGTTTTGAAGACGTAAATTAAATGTATAAATACATAATTACATAACAAGTACACATACAAATATTGACCCTGCCCTTACTCTTGACTCCTTGACCGTCGGGCCCTTTGGTTTATCACCAGCAATGACAGAACAAGTCATGTGCTTAAAGTGTGTGTATACATCATCATGGCTGGAAAAGAGATG